TCTTTGGTGGGACATGTGTCGTGGGCCTTCCATGAACTTAGGGTACTACTATTGGTATTCGGTATTGACATTTAGCGTGGGTCTTCAAAGCCGTCATTCCGCATTCACCTGGCTCATTTAAAGACGTGGGGTCTTTTGTGGACTTGGACTAGCACCATCGGTATTAGAATTTAGACGGTTCTGAGTGATTTAGACTTTGTTTAATAATATTTTTTTCGGTGTTTTATTTTTTAATTTTTTTAAATATATAAAATATTAATTAAAATAAATATTAAATATTTAAAATATATTTTATTTTATTAAGATATTGGGAAATTAAGAAAAAATTTATAACTATAATTACAAATTAATATTACCAAATTGAACTTATAGTGATTAGCTTTGCTTCTGTGTCATTTGAGGATGGGAGAGGGGATGTCGGATCCTCCGGGGACTTTGATTTTATTTTATTTTTTGGTGAATTCCGGAGACTTCGATTAGTACTCGCATTTGACGGTCACTTCTTTCTTTATTGACAACGAGCCATGTTGATTTTCTTGTTTGAAATTGTTGTCCACAAGTGGATGCTTTTTTCAAATGTAGGAAGATGACTTTATCCAACAGTAAGGAAACCGATAATGTGTTATAACAAAATAAAGCAAAATAATTTGTTTGGATGGACCTTGACTTAAGACTTATATATATAACATAAGGGCAGTCCCACCGTCCCACCACGTCGAAGAGGTCAGAGCATTATAACAACCACCAATAAATGATCAGACTCTTCAAAGTGTAAATGCAAAGGAGTTAAATTGATGAAAAGTCATTACATTACTACTTTGTACTAATCTTAAGAACTTGAATCAAAGTCAGAGCAAAATGTCATTAAAATTGATATGAAAGAGAGGTAATGATGACCAAGAACTTATTTGTAGATTAGCAAAATCCATTTTACAGAATGAAATAATACCACAACAAAGTAACAATTTGTTGTGTTTTGAATTACGGTTTCATCCAAGCAAAACTGCCAGGATATCTTCAAATGTGTAGGCCAAAGGCTGGATGAGTAAATGAAAGCAAAAGCAACTCCACAAAATGGTTAACCAATGGGCTGACAAACAGGAAAACCAACCAGATACGAAATCTGCACCCTTAACCCAGAAATGAGTCCTGATAAAGGGAAAATGTTTTTGGGAAAAGAATGATGTCGTTTTCTGCAAATTAAACGGACCTTTAATCCAAATGATCAACGCAACAACACTAGCTCTGCTCAGGTCCTTAATTTATCTCAAGAATTTAAAATTTTCCAAGAAAGTAAGAACTATCCCATAAGAAGTCACAAAGAGAGAAGAAGAGGGCAATGCCAGGTTGTGAAGAGCTTGAGGAACCGAGGATAAGAAAGCAATTAATTAATGAAAAACCAAGATATTCAGTAAAGAATCTATTTTATGATTTAAAGTACACTAAATTTTTATTTAATAATTAATATTATATATATTGATATAAGGTAGATTGCACAACGTTTTTTATTTAATAATCCTAGATGAAGTTAACCATTATAAGAGGTTAGAACTCTTTTTTCAATCTTATATGTAAAATACTTAGGTTAAGTTCATTGAAATGAAGGAACTTCATTAACTGGTAAGATTCTTTCCAGTTCTAGCATGTTTGTTTATCATTAATGGATAAAGTCAAACTGTTGACTGATTAAAAGAAAGCATATTAAAACGTGGGCTAATCTGTATCAAATCCAATCAGTTTAAGGGACTGAGAAGAAATAAAATGGTAATCACAATCATGAAGTCATTGCAATTACATAATAGAACAAAGGCGAGTGAAGTTTGATCTCTTCTTCATAAGAAGACATGGTTTCTCTAGGATTGATCCTTTAAAACAACTTACACAGTCATAATGCAAGACATGTAGGTTAATTTGTACATAATGCAAGACATGTAGGTTAATTTGTACATGATCGAATTTATTAGTACGAATGAATTAGATGGTAAACAACCATTCTTCCTAAATTAAGATAAAAGGGTTGCTACTTGATATCTATATAACAAAAGGCCAATTACAATAAATCTAAACTAACATTACATAAATGATTAAAAAATTAAAAGTTATAGACAATTGGTATAGTATAGCATATATACATATACCTAAAAAAGAGAATACACAAGAATATAAAATTTTTCATATATTCAAGTACTTACTATTTAAGCTGGCATCTAAGATTCTCATCCTTGGCGATGATGCATTGTTCTAGACAGTTTGATCCAAGATAATATTTATAGTGTCAAAATCATGCTAGTGCTTCTAGATGTAGTATTGATAGATGAATCTTGTTCTAAATTCAACCAATACTTATCTAACTAGCTCTTGAAACTTAACAGCACAAAACAAATGGAGGTAATTATCCAAATGGGAAACATAAACTCGAAGCTGATTATAAGTAATGGATCCAATAACTCCAATGATAGAACTATACAACCCGAGGTTTGTTCACATAAAAAGGCAATGCACAACACAATATCGAGGAGGCCTCCAGATATTATCATAAAATTTTGCAAAAACAATTGCTAGAATAAAGAAGGTAAAGTTTGATGTTGAATTTACTGCGTAGACACACATTTCATGGAGAATTTGAGTTGACTCCAAAATTTTGAAAATATTAGTAAATTGAAGCTAACAAGCAAAAATAACTAAGTTTTGGCCCTTCTTTTATTATATTTCGAACCCAACTCTATATCAAGCGAAAGAAATGTGGTAGAGAATATATAGGGCAAGTTTATTGATCAGCTTGGCATTTAGCTGACCCTTTGCTGCTCCTGCTTTGTTGTTGAAATACGTTTGGAGGGCTTTTGATAGATTCTTGATCTTCTCAATAACTGGATCTAGTAGGGCTCCCATTATTGATTGGCAATAAACCTTGAAAATTTTCCATTGATTGCCCACCTCCTCTTCAATTCAATCCATTAGCAATATGTTTGGTTTCAAGGAAGTAAAAGGGAGGGATGAATTTTTTTTACTAATCAAATTCTAATATTTGAAATGTTTTAAACTAATTGGTTACAAAATTCATTCCTCTTCTTTATTTCTCTCAAACTAAATGTATTATAAGTATGGAGTGGGTTGAGTAAAAAAATTAAATGGATCTCCTCACATCTCATTGTACAACCCAAAAATAAAATCTTTTTTTTTTTAAATATAAATTAACCTTAAACAGTCACATTAATTACGTGATATTAAAATGAGTGAACCCAAGTAGAATAGTGGTAATAATATTATTTCACCCAATGTTATAAGATTTAGTGTCAGTAAGTTTATTGTCAAGAAACCAACATTGCGAACAAATCACTGTGGTTAAAGAGTCAATGTATTTTTGGCAAAATTTTAGAAAGATAATTGGATATTTGCTGGTCAAAGGTTTCAGTGGAGACACTGATTCCTGTTGGAATGTGAATTGGGTCTTGTGTGCTTGGACTTTTGATGTGGGCCCTCTATGAACTTGGATTAGTGCTACTATTGGTATTGAAATTTGGCGTGGACCTTTAAAGTCGTCGTTTAGCGTGCATCTGGGTCATTTGACGTGGGGTGTTCCGTGGACTTGGATTACAATTATCGGTATTGGAATTTGGGGTGGGTCTGGTCTGGTTCATTTAAGGTGGGGGCTTCAAAGTCGTCATTTGGGTGCTTCTGGGTCATTTGACGTGAACTCTGCTGTGGACTTAGGTTAGTATTGGCGTTTGACCGTTATTCACCTTAATTACTGACAACGACGCCAAGTTCATTTTCTTCTTGTTTAAATGTTGGTCGCAGCGGCAATCGGAGGCTTTTGCAAATTATAGGAAGATGGATTTATCCAACAGCAAATAAACGGATCATGTGTTACAAGTTACAACATGCTATAATGAAGTATTCTCTCTGTTTATTTTTAATAGACTCTGTTTAATTTTTAAATTTTTTAAATGTAAATTTTAAATAAAAAATTAATATATTATATTAAATAATAATTAAAATTTTTTTATTAAATAAAAATATTCAACAAGAATTACATATAAATAAAATTAATTATTATTTATATAAATTATTAAATTTTTATTTAAAATTTATGTTTTTAAAATTAAAGTCAAATTAATTTACTAAAAATCAATGAAAGGAGTAAAATAATTTATTTGCATGGATCTCGACTTCAAGCTTACCCATATAATGGGCACTAGAGAGGGGCACCCTTACCTGACCAAAGAGATCGGAACAGAGAATATCCCAAGTTCCAACAAGCACCAATAAATGATAGGCTTCATAAAGGTCATTCCATTACATTACTACATTTTTTCTTTTTCCCTTTTCTTTTCAAAGGATTTTTTTATTTTATGCTCTTAAAGTATAAATTAAATATATAATAAATGTATTTTTTTATAATTTTTTTTATTAAAAGTGTAAATATTAACTTCAATTTAATCAATTAATTAATTAATTATATTTATGTGTTAATAATGTTAAAATATATGTTAATTTTTATAATTTTTATGTGAATTAATCACAAAAATAGGTTTAAGTACCATTTTAGTCCCTCAACTTTACACTTTGGTACCAAAATTGTCCCTTACCTTTAAAAAGTATCAAAATTATCCTCGAACTTTCATTTTTGTACCAAAATAGTCCTTCCGTCAGTTAAATGACAGGTGTCACGTTAATTTGCCAGCAAATCACTTAACTTTTTAAATGTTAATGACGTGTAAATCCCACAAGGAAAACTCCCATTTTTTTAATCAGTTAATACATTAAAAAAATAAAATTACTTAAATGCCCTCATCCTCATCCTCCAACTTTCCTTTCTTCTTTCTCCTGCATCTCCTCCAAGCTCCAAGCAAACCAGCA